CCAATAACACATATGTAACTTATTTTATTTTTGTTGTTCATTTACATCACTTTCATCAGGCAATTTTTTTGTTTGATATCAGGTGTCAAAAGAGCATGGCACCTAGTAATGAATGTGCCAAATGTCTCCACTTCGTTCCACTGCCCCAGTGACTTGAATATCTTGGGTTCTGCCACCCTTCATGCAGATCTAGATCCCTCCGCTTCGCGTCGGGCTCCTGATCAGCCTGTCGGGTGTTCTTTTCCCCATAATGACCGCGTCGCTGCACATTATCCCTTACAAACTAGCTAAGTTAGCTAGATGTAATTCATTCTTAACTGTAGGCTTTTATCAAAGTATTAATTTACTTAATCTAAATGTAACAACATTTTAAATTATAATAACTTACATTTATGGCGTTATGACCTTCTTCTTGAGGTGATTGTGTCCAAATAAAGTTATGTCTGCTTCAACTTGCTGTTGTCTGTCTTGTCAGGCAGTTTTCCTTCAGCTCTGAAAATGACAGCTTTCCCGCGTATCGGTGGCTCGAAGTTGCCGCGAGCGCTAGGCAGCCCTTATAATTCTTTTAATAAAAAAAAAAAATTTTTTTTTTTTTTTTTCTGCTTGGGGGCTTGCGCCCCCTAGCAGCGGCGCGCATATTTCAGCAGCATATAGGGGAAACACTGCATATTTTTTTATTTGATTAAACACAATTAATCATTGTTTTTAATTCCCTAGTTCTTATATTTGATCAGTATATTGGATAAGAGCCAAACGTTATTTTACCAAGGGAATATATGACTTATTGTGTAATTCACAAGATTTGTATTAGGAGAGAAGAAGCCAAATGGAACAGAAAATGGTGGATTTTTCTTTCTCACTACAGCTTTAATGACTTCTGGTGTCATGCGTCATTTTTTCCAGCTCCAGTCAGACAGCTGCCTCTTATATCATCAGGAACCCCCAGCCTCGGCGCAGCAGCCAGTCTCAGCCTGTCCGAGGACGAGACGAGGAGCAGGACGACATTGTGTCAGCAGATGTGGAAGAGGTGGGGAGCCTCATTATAAAATCATTAAGGCCATAATGGACTTTGTGTGCAATTGAATCCATTGTTTACTAGTTTTATAAAGGGCCTGATGCCACCTACAGGCCAAACTGTTATTTCCACTTCAACAATGGATAGAATATATTCATATTTATATTTTATAGTGTATACTTTTAGCTAAAAATAAGACACTAAATCTTTCAGTTTCCTCTCTAATGATCTATTTTGTTGTCTTTAGGTTGAAGTTGTAGAGGGAGTAGCTGGTGAGGAAGACCATCATGATGACCAAGAGGAGCAGGGAGAGGAAAACGCTGAGGCAGAAGGGCAGCATGATGAGCACGACGAGGATGGTGAGACACACCCTACTTTTTATGGAAACGCAGAGGAATTATCCAAACAACAGTTGTTCAGTTATTTTCGTTTTACACTCTGATGTGAAACCCCACCCAACGAGCATGCGTATTTCTCTTTGCTTCTGCTTTTAGGAAGTGACATGGAGCTGGATCTGCTGGCTGCAGCAGAAACGGAGAGTGACAGTGAAAGTAACCACAGCAACCAGGATAACGCTAGCGGCCGCAGGAGCGTTGTCACAGCAGCCACTGCCGGCTCTGAAGCAGGTTGGTCATCTGCTGTTTTTCCATCTTTCCCTTTTAGATTTAATTTGAGATTTTCTTTTATAACATTTTCCTCAATATCTAAGAACTTCTCCTTTTTGTTGAAAATGCGGTCCTCTTCCTTACTTCCTCGAACTGAAATCTTTCCAAATGCTTACTCAATAGAAATTCCATTTCTGTCTTGCTGCACTGTGGCATATTTTCTCCCTTGGAATTGCAGACTAATGCGGTCCTCACAAAAATCATTCATGCTTAACAGTCAGCATTTTGGATTGTGGGGGTTTTATGTTTGGAAAGCTAATGATACAGCAGTCGAGAAATGGTTCCTGGCTGAATACCCGATGTATTTCATTTGCAGGCAGTAGGGTGTCCTTGGCATTTCCTATTTTTGGTATGAGCTCCTCTTTACTTCAATGCATATACAGCTGTCAGGGCAAAGAGTGAATTTGCAAAGTGCATACACCGTTTCCTGCTGAGAGTTCCTTCCTTCAGTTCGTCCCCTTTCTCACATTTCACTGTTACTGTGTCTGTCATTTGGAACTAACACTGTCACTCATCACAAGTAATAACACACAAATCAACTTGTAGCTTTTTCCACATTTATTTTTCTTACCAAGGACGGTGTTTCATTTACATTCTGTACAAGTGAGACAATGCAATCCTTTGTCCCTCATTACATTTCCTATCATCTTTTTTAAAAGAAAATATTCAGCACAAGTTGATCAACAGCTGTTGTTTTGACTTGAAGCCTCCGTGTTTTCACCGGTATATTAGTGTTGTTTGGCCTTGTAGTGGTGTGACTCACTAACCCGCACTCCTACCTGGAAAAATGTCATGTGAAAGACAAAGAAAGGGAGTGGAGATAAACACAAGCAATTCAACTCGTGTTAATCTTTTTTTCTGCATCCCACCCTCCTCCTCTTCTCTCCCTCTGAAGGTGCCAGCAGTGTCCCTGCGTTCTTTTCAGAGGACGACTCCCAGTCCAACGACTCCAGTGACTCTGACAGCAGCAGCAGTCAGAGCGACGACGTGGACCAGGAGACGTTCTTATTGGACGAGCCGCTGGAAAGGACAACTAGCACTTCCCACGCTAACAGTGCTGCCCAGGCTCCCCGCTCCATGCAGTGGGCTGTCAGAAACACCCCCAGCCAGAGGGCCACCGGCAGCGCCCCCTCCAGCTCCTCAACACCAGCTGGTCAGTACTGCTTTGTCTGTTTAGAAGAAGAATACATACTTTATTAATCCCACTAGGAGAATTTCAGTTGTTACTGTTGTTGGTATACAATGACGTTTACATTTCACACATTCAAGTAGGACTACCCTTTAGGCCTGAGCTAAAAACACATGCTCATGACTTGCTTTAGGGAGGTTTCGGGCTCGGCTCAAAGACACCTCGGCAGGGCACAAGATGTGAACTGGCACCTCTCGAGCTACTTTGTGGTCTGTACAGGGACTTGAACCAGTGACCATTGGTTCCCCAGCCAGCTCCCTACAGACTGAGATACTGCTGCCTCTGATTCTTTTGCATTTGACCCAATCTAGCATAAGGAGCAGTGGGTATTGCTGCATTCAGGGAGCAGTGTGTTGGTGCAGTGCATTGCTCAGGGGAACTACTGTACAATGTCTTTTTCCGTGGTTCCACGTGACTGATGATCTTTTGCCTTTTTTCACAGCGAGCTCCACAGGCCTCATATACATTGACCCCACAAACCTACGTCGCTCCAGTGCGATCAGCTCCAGTGCTGCTGCTGCGGCCGCTGCTCTGGAGGCCAGCAACTCCAGCAGCTACCTGACGTCTGCCAGCAGCCTAGCCCGGGCCTACAGCATCGTCATCAGGCAGATCTCAGACCTCATGAGTCTCATTCCCAAGTACAACCATCTAGTGTACTCGCAGTACCCTGCTGCTGTGAAGCTCACCTACCAGGACGCAGTCAACCTGCAGGTAACACACTCTGACCACAATAATCAACTACCCCAGCACCTTCAAATTATAAATAAATCTATTATTTTTCTGTTAACATTTTCATAGACATTTTAGATTATTTTTTTAATCATGATACAATGGTACTAGTACATTTTTCATTACCATCCTTTAATCCTTAAAACATCTTGACTCTTCAATTACATCTGTGTCTTGCATAATCAGATTATTGCATCATGCAACCATCAGCGGTCATCCATCCTTTATAAGTGTTTTTCTTACCTAATGAGATACATTTGAAATGTTTTAATGTGGTATAAAGTTATGCTTGGCCACATTTATCAAGGCTTAGTGTTGGGATCTGGGCGTACACTTTGAAAAAACACTACTTCACTTTTCTGAACCAAATGATGAATTACAACATTGAAGTATCTGTCATAATTGGCCGTGAATGTCTGAACATTTCTTTTTTGTCCTATCAGTTGAATTAAAGTCAAATATGTATTGTTTGTTGGAGCAGAACTATGTTGAAGAAAAGCTGATTCCCACCTGGAACTGGATGGTGTCCATCATGGATTCCACTGAGGCCCAGCTGCGATACGGCTCCGCTCTGTCGTCTGCTGGAGACCCGGGTCACCCCAGCCACCCGCTCCACGCTTCTCAGCACTCAGCTCGCAGGGAGCGAATGACAGCCCGGGAGGAGGCCAGCCTCCGCACCCTGGAAGGACGCAGGTAAAAAGAAGCTCTTTATCACATGTATTTGTCTGATCGGATAATGATCACTGCGAAAAATGCCTTTTGGAGTAAAACTTTTTAAAAGCCTCTTTCTAAGTGAAATCCAACTGTGCTTGCACAAAAAAGTTTGATCCACACTTTTTTATTAACTTTTATAACTCAATACGTTTGCTTTGTGTTTTTCAGGAGAGCAGCGACCCTGCTGACGGCTCGTCAGGGCATGATGTCGGCGCGGGGCGACTTCCTGAACTACGCCTTATCACTGATGCGCTCCCACAACGACGAGCACTCTGACGTGCTTCCTGTGCTGGACGTATGCTCACTGAAACATGTGGCCTACGTCTTCCAGGCGCTTATCTACTGGATTAAGGCCATGAACCAGCAGACCACTTTGGACACCCCACAGATGGACAGGAAGAGGTAAACGAAGAACATTTTGCAATTTTCAATTCTTGACTTTGTGGTTATACGTTTAAAATTCACTTCCTTGATTTCCCTTCATTTACTTTGACCGTATTTGTAATCAACTTTATCTTTGATTTGAAGGAATCGAGAGATTTTGGAACTTGGTTTGGACAATGAGGATTCTGAGCACGAAAACGATGAGGACACCAATCAAAGTAAGCCAGATAACAATGATTTAATAATACATTAGTCATCATGTCAAGTGACTTCTTATAATGTTTGCTGATACATTTTTCTCTGCTTCACCTCAGGTTCAACTCTGCAGGATAAGGATGATGACCCGGTCCCAGCTGAAACGGGTCAGAACCATCCCTTCTTTCGTCGCTCCGACTCCATGACCTTCCTGGGCTGCATCCCACCCAACCCCTTTGATGTTCCCTTGGCTGAGGCTATTCCCCTGGCAGACCAGCCCCACCTCCTGCAGGTCAGTATCTGCTCTGTCTGAGTGTGTTTCATAGCATGCTCCTGAGACAGTGAAGATGAAAGGGTTAAATACGCACAGTTCAAAACCTCATGCCATAAACAGCATGCCAAGTATGCAACAGCAATGGCCGACAATGCAATATTAGAAATATAAATGGTTATTTGTAAAAAAAATCAATAAGACAGCAAAAACTGTATTTTGCTATTTAAGAATGCTGGTTTGCTCAGGGTGTCCTGTGACTCATTCATTTTCTTTACACTAGCTTACAATTACCTTACTCTGGTTCCCTTGATCATCTGCTAGA